TGGACCTTGGACAGTTCCCCCTGCCATCGAAGGCAGTTAGTTGTCTTGGGATTGGGTGACAGGCCAGGACAGGGGGTCCTGAATACAGGAAAGGAGTTTAGGAGGGGATGTGAGTTGTGAGTGATGTAGCAATGATAGGAAGCAACAGGTTCAGCCATGGGGAGAGGAAAGAACCAGGAGAGGGAGGCAGGAGGCACAGTCAGGGGAACCTGTGCTGATGGAACTGAGCAAAGAGAAAGGAGAGACTCAGAGGAGAAAGGAAAGGGCTGCAGCAGCAGAGCTTGAGGGTGAGGAATGGGCCACCTGTTACTCTCCTGGTGCGTGGAGAGCAGTTCCTGGAGGCAGAGAGGTCTTCAGTTATCATGATGATGCAGTCTAGGGTCTGAGTCTGTCCTGGACAGTCCCCATCACTGAAGTTGTCTTCTGTCCTACTGAACTTGCTAGAGACCACCCCCCAGGCATACACGGAGGTTGGAAAACCTGCTTAGAAAGATTTGTACTGGGGTCAAGAGCAATTGTACGGCAGGGAGGGAGTTTGCCTTGCATGTGGCTGACTGGGTTAGATCCCCACACCCCATATGGTCCCCTGATCACTGTCAGAAGTGATCCCTGAGTGCAGAGCTAGGAGAAATCCCTGAGCATTGCTGGATTTGGCCCCCAAACAAATTTTAAAATGGCAGGTTGGGGGGACTGGAGTGATAGCACAGCGGATAGGGTGTTTGCCTTGCATGCGGCCAACCCGGGTTTGATTCCCAGCATTTCATATGGTCCCCTGAGCGCTGCCAGGAGTAATTCCTGAATGCAGAGCCAGGAGTAACCCCTGTGTATTGCCGGGTGTGACCCAAAAAGCAGAAAAAAAAAAGCAGGTTGGCTCCAAACTGTTCATGAGATCCACTGCCAGCTGCCATCTGGGATCCCAGCCCAAGCTCATCTACTGCCACAAGCCCTGGGACATGTCCTTTCACTCTGGGAAGACTCGATTTCCTTGAAGGTGTGTGGAGGTGTCCCCCAGATAGGGCAGGGCCCCACTGTTGACTGGTCTTGGGCTACATCACTCATTTGGCACAATAACCCCTTTGGCCTGTCTGAAAATAACTGCTCAAACTCCGTAGACTACTCGTTGGCTGCTTCTTTTGCCTCCTATGTGGAACAGAATCTTCAGTGATTTATTAAGTCTGAAAGAACCAGATTTACTGCTGGTTTCTGAGCGTGCAGCTCTAGGGCTGACCAGGGAGAATGGGAAGGCACTGGGGTTGTGACCACTTTTTATCACACGGTGGCGCCAGTGAGGCCAGGCGCTGTCCAAGCCCAGAGTAACCAGTCCCAGTGCCCCTCATCCCCACCCCAACCCCTCCTGCCCCTGCAGGGCCCCTGCGTCAATGGAGGAAACCCAGCTTTCAGTACTTAAGACGTGTCCTCATCTTGCTTAGAAGTACATCTTGTTTTCTTGGTTTGTCTTTTTTTTTTGGGGGGGGGTCACACCTGGCCACATCCAGCGGTGCTCAGGGCTTTGTCCTGGATCTGCTCTGGCAGAGGAACTGAACTCTATGTAGTACCCAGTATCGAACCCAAGCCGATTGCAGGCAGAGCAAACACTCTACTTGCGGTACTATCACTCTGACTCAGTTTACCCTTCTTTCATTGTATCACTGTCATCCTGTTGTTCATCGATTTCCTCGAGCACCTGTAACATCTCCTTCGTCCTAGCCCTGAGATTTTAGAAAGTGCCACATTCGCTGCTCTTTCAGGGTCAGGAGAATGAGACCCATCATTGTTACTGTTTTTTGGCATATTGAGTACGCCACGGGGATTTTGCCAGACTCTGCCATGTGGGCAGGACACTCTTGGTAGCCTGCCAGGTTCTCCAGAGTAAGAACTAGATAATTCGCGGCCGTGCGCTTCCAGGAGCTGGGTTTTATAGTCTCTGGGTCTTGGCTGTTGATGGGATTACACGGCACCAGGGCGGTTGGTGGGTGTAATGCCTACATACTGGAAGATGAGGGATCTGGGTGAAGAAGGCCCAGTTCCAATCCGAGCAGGCTTGGAGATCTATGCCTCGGGTCCCACACACCTGGTTTTCTCTGCTGGTTCCTTCATGTGTGAGGCTCGTCCGAATGTGTGGAGAGTTATCTTAAACATGGCTGTGGCTGGAACCGGAGGTCTTCAGCTGCCGGGGCTCTGCTCGGGGTGGGGAGGGAAACTCAACCCACCCTCCTCCAAGAGGCCCCGGTGAGGACACCCAGGTGCGGAGGTAGGAGACTGCACTGTTCTCTTCTGGGAGCTGGGTTTAATAGTCTCTGGGTCTTGGCCATTGATGGGATTACATGGCGCCTTATTTAATTTTATTATTATCTTTTTAATATATAATAATAGATAATAGGGCTGGAGCAATAGCACAGCGGGTAGGGCGTTTGCCTTGCACGCAGCCAACATGGCCGACCCGAGTTCGATTCCTCCGCCCCTCTCGGAGAGCCCGGCAAGCTACTGAGAGTATTCGATATGCCAGACACAGTAACAACAAAGTCTCCAATAGAGACGTTACTGGGCCCGCTCGAGCAAATCGATGATCAACGGGAGAGCCTTTACTTTACTTTATCTTTTTAATTATCTTTGGTTTTGGGTGGTGCTCGGGGATTGAACCAGCATAGATTGCATGCATGGCAAATGCCCTACCCAATGTACTATCTCTCCAGCCCTTTTCCCTCATTTTAATACTCAAAATCCTGTTCTGGGGTGGAGATTTAAATGCTACTGGGAACCAGGAAAGTGCGGATGCTCAATTCCTATCTCTTCATGCTTCCCTGGTAGGTCCTCCCATCTGTCCTTTTAAAACGCAGTCTCAGGGGCTGGAGAGATAGCACAGCAGGTAGGGCATTTGCCTTGCACACTGCTGACCCAGGTTCGATCCCCAGCATCCCATATAGTCCCCTGAGCACCGCCAGGGGTAATTCCTGAGCGCAGAGCCAGGAGTAACCCCTATGCATTGCCGGGTGTGACCCAAAAAGCAATAAATAAATAAATAAATAAATAAATAAATAAATAAAAACGCAGCCTCAGGTGTTTTTAAAGCAATAGTACAGAGAACAGGGCACTTATCCATGCGGCTGGCAGGGTTTGATTCCTGGTACTCCATATGGTCCCCTGAGAAGTGCCAGGAGTAACCCCTGAGCACAGAGCCAAGAGTAAGCCTTGAGTACCATCAGGTATGACCCGACCACCACCCCACAAAAAAAAAAAAAACTGCCGCCCTTTGTTCAGAGCCAGCCACAACCTCTGTCTTGGTCAGATTCCCTTGCACACAGTTTGCATTCTATACGCACGGCCTGATTTCTCCTCGACCTCTCATCAATTTTTCCCTTGCGGGCAAACAGCATACCTAATGGTGCCTCAGACTACTCCTGATGATGCCAGGATCCAACAGAGGTTCCCGCCCTTTGACCCCTGCTGTCGTTGGCCCCTTTATCAATTCCTTGGGGTTTGTTTGTTTGTGTCACACATAGCGATGCTCAAGGCCTGCTCCTGGCTCTGCTTTTAGGAGTCACTCATGGCAGTGCTCAGGGGACCGTATAGGATGTTGGCCACGTAATGCAGGTCAGCAACTTGCAAGGCAAACACCCTCCCTGCTGTACTATCGTTCCAGCCCATTTTTGTTTGTTTCCTATCAATTCCTCATAACTGTGACACCCAGGAGACCTTGGGTTCTCTCCCTGGGGCCCCTTAGCTGGCCTAGAGTGTTGTTTTGTTTCTGTTTGTGTGCATGTTGTTTTGTTTCGTCTTGCTTTGGGGGTTACACCTGGTGATGATCAGGGGTTACTCTTGGTTCTGCATTCAGGATTCACCCCTGACTGTGCTTGGGGAGACCAGATGGGATGCCGGGGAATTGTCTAATGCACTGTATCATTGCTCAGGCCCTTGGAGTATTGTTTTCTGGTCTCTCGGCGCTCTTTCTAGAGTCAGGCAGCCTTGCTAAGGTGCAGGCTGCAGGCTCCAACGGTTCCTTCCCTTGGGGGATATAGCCCCCCTCAACCAGCTGCCAGGAGTATGCAGGGGAGGGAATGAAGGCTCAGATTGGTCAAGGCACTACCTGGGGTCATGGAGGCGGTGAGTGGAGCAGGCCGGGGTCGAGCCCTGCTGTGTGATCCCGCAGCCCCCCTGGATCTCTGGGTCATGGACTCTGTGAGAGAGGAGGGAACAAAACTGGGCTCCCCGCCTACACCGGGTCACTGGGGCCTTCGGTGACGGGACTTCCTTCTGTCCTGTCCCTAGATCTGGACCGGGCTAGTGTTGATGGAAACCAAATCCCTCGAAGGCCTGGTTTCCTCGAAGCTTCTCCCCTTGAACCACCCTTTCCTGGGAAGCTGACGGTGTCACGATGAATGACTGGGATGCAGGCGCCTGCGTCCGCCTCTGCTCACACAGAAACACCCACTCTGACCACGAACCCCCTCTCCTGAAAACAAAGAAACGGCATTTCCCAAACTTTTCGAGGGCTGCTAGCCTCAGAGAGAGAAACCGAGGCAGGGCTGGGTGGAGGGCTTGGTCTTTCCGTCCATGCCCTGATGCGACTTGGCACCAGTGTTTCTAAGAGCTAGTGGAAATGTGACGGCAGCATGACTGGCTTTGCCGGCGGCGTGTGGCACGTTGTGGGGGTCTAGGCACAAGGCAATTTGTCCAAGCACATCTGCTTACCACCGGTCATCACAGGTTTGAGGCTCCCAGAGGGTGTCAGGAAGGCAACTGAGCTATGCCGCCGACACACCCCGTTGCCACAAAACCCAAGAACACAGCCTTGACAGATTGACAGACGCCATCTGCTTTTACTGGGCCTGCCTCGACACCCCTGGGATACTCCCTCGGGACCCGCTGTCGGAGCACGATGTCAGTGGCCAGGCCGGGAGGCGAAGCACCACGGTCCTAAACTCACTCTCAGGGCTCTGTTCCCCAGGGGTCTGGGCGAGCTGCCCGATGTCGGGGGAGGGGAGGTGGAGGGCGCCGGTGACTCAGCTGGTGCTGGGCGTGTTTCTCGGCGCCGTCAGCTCCTGGCTCCTGAGCCCCCGGCCCCCCTGGCTCCTGTGCTTGGCCTTCTGTGCCCGGACCAGCTGGCGGATGCGCCGCCGCTGCTGCAGCCAGAACAGCATCTCTACCCGGTCGTGCTTCATCTTCTCCAGGTAGCTGCGCCCCTTGAAAGTCACGGGCTCGCCGAAGAGGGCCTCGATGTCCTCCAGGATGGTGGTCAGCGGCCTCTCCATGCGCCTGAGGGCCCTGTAGAGTTTGTCGCGGACCTGGCTCTCCTCGAGTAGGCGTCGGGAGCGGGAGGTCTTCTGGAAGAAGCGGTTGGGGTTGGAGGCCTGCCGCTCGAACCACTCCAGCTTGCCCAGCAACAGTTCCCGCTGCCGGATGTGCTCCAGGGCCTGCTCCCAGGCCTTCACCAGCGACGGCAGCTGCTTCACGTGGGTGTTGGAGCTGTACTTGATGGCCATGTCCAGCTGCTCCCTCGCCGGGACCTCCAGCATGCTCCACAGCTGCTCCAGCCGTTCCTGCAGGCCCAGGAACCGGTGCGGTTCGTCCAGGAGGAGCCGCTCCATCTGCTCGCTGTACTCGGTCAGGCTGCCCCAGTTCCACTCTCCGGGCACGAAGTCGGGCTCCTCGTCCTGCAGCAAGGGGGGTGGGTGCTGAATCTTGGGGGTCTTTCTGACGGGGGGAGGGGCCTCCTTGGGCACTTCCTCTTGATACAGGTGGAAGATGACGTGGAGGAAATCCGTGTCCTCTTTGTAGAGGTACTTGAAATAATCGTCCGCAGACACGGTAGCTCGCCACCAGCTCAGCCACGAGAGCTTCTGGAAGTATCCGCCCCAGGCTTGCAGCCCTTGGAACGACGAGAAAGAGGCCATCTTGTCTTCACTGAGACTTGAAGGGTCGACTTTGTACGAGGCGATCCCGGCCAGCATGGGGTTGATAGCAGCATACTGTTTTTTGGGAAAGAGAAAGGCCGAGGTCAACATAGCGGAGGGTATGGTCTGGAGCGCCGGCTCCTCACCCGGAGACTCCTGCTCAAGCGAAAAGTAACGGGACGAGACGCAGTTCATCAGTTCCTTGTACACCTCCCGGATGCTGGTACCCAGAAAGTGCTCCACTTTCATCTTGTCGAGGAGCCTGGGTTCCAGCTCACCGCTCAGGTGGTTGTACAGGAGCCCGGCGCCCTCCACGCAGTAGGTGTTCTCGATGCTTCTCTCGGAGACCAGCATGGCTGCGCCCTGGACAAAGCCCTGGTTCACCTTCATGGTGAAAGTGACCGGCTGGGACTGGTCTAGAGGGACTTCGGGGGTGCTCGGGAGCACCGGCTGCGCCGAGGCTAATGTGACTTCTTCCAGCTCCTTCTGTGGTTCCTGCAGCCCTTTCAAGCGATTGGTTTTAACCTGGCACAGGGTCAGGGCCCCCAGGAGCGGGTCCAGGCAGGAGTGCAGTGGCGAGGAACACGGCTGCTCCAGTTTCAGGTTCTTGACCAGCTGCTTCAAGTCCTTGGCTACTATCCCGGCTGCCAACTCGGCTTTGCTCTTGGCCACCAGAACCGTGGGGGAGAGAGGGCGACTGGGAAACGGGGGGAGGCCCAGGAAGTCGGACAGCCTTTTGCCCTCCCGCAGACAGGGCATGGATTCGGCCTTCCGGACCAGGAGCTTGGCGAGTGGCCGGGAGGGGGTCGGGGCCCTGGGGAAGGGAACCCGGGTGGGGAATGCTTGGGGCTGGGGGCTGGTCTTCAAGGGTCTACAGGGGGGTCTTCTCTTTGGCAAGAAGGGCCAGAAGCGCAGAGACTTTCTCTTCAGCTGGGGGATGGACATTAGTTCCTTCAGGGGATCCTGCACCGGCTCCTTCTTGAGCTCCTTGGGCGCGGGGCGGCTGAGTTTAATAAGGTGGTTCAGGTTGAGCTGGTGGAGGGGCACCGAGGCGATGCCAGTGCTGCAGGGCAACGGGATGCTGGAGAGCCCCAGAGCCCCACTGGAGCCCTCGGATCGCACTTTGTGCAAGCCGCCCTGTGCCTGCTCCAGCTGCAGCTGGGCTCGGAAGTCGGCCAACAGGCCTCGGTAGACATCAGGGCTGGTGAGGAACTGTGTGCAGCACCTCGAGAGGCTGGCGGACAAACGGACCAGCATGGCGTTTTTGGTGAAGACGGTCGAGGTGGTCTCCGAGGTCGCCAGCATGTTCAGGTGGCATAAGAAGAGCTGCTCGCTGCTCAGCAGCACGTGGGCCTGCAGCCGCTTCCGCAGCCTCTGGTTGTCCAGGTGACTCAGCCCGGGCTCCGGGGGAGGCTCCCACCAGCCACACTTCAGCTCGTCCAGGATGACGTTGGTCAAATGGCTCCGGCCCTCGGCCGACACCTGCAAAGTCAACCCGCTCTGGGCCAGCCGTTTGGCCACCTGGTGGCACAGCGACGCCTGCGTCAGCCGGGAGACCGGCAAGGGCAGCACCGGGTCCTGCGGGGGGGTCCTCTGAGGCTCGGGCAGCGGCTCCCGGCGAGGGAAGAGCGTCAGCGGACGCAGCATCCGGTGGTAAAGGTGCCGGAGCTCGGACTCTTCCTTGGCGGGATCCATTTTAGCACTAGCCGCGCCGACCTGCCAGGGTAGAAGCGGCGACGCGGTTGCTGAAGCAACCGGAGGCCAGAGTGCGCCTGCGCAGTCCGCGGGTGCTGTTCCCGCCGAGGGGGCGGGGCCTCGGGGCCTGCGCGCGCCGCCGGGGGCGGAGCCAAACGTGGCTTCCGGGGGCTCCGCCTCCTCCGCGACTCCGGGTTTGCACTTCAGGACCGGAGCTGTTCAGGCCGTCCCGAGGGTGACGGGGGCCAGAATGGCATCGAACACGGGGGACGGCGGGACCGCCTGCACGGTGAGGGCATCGTCGGGCAGAGCCTCGGCCCTTGCGGCGATCGTTTATTCGGGAGAGGGGGCACGGAGGCGACCCCCCTCCCCAGGTCGGGGACCTCCCCCCTCCCCCCACACTCTCCCACCCGGGTCTCCTGCAGTGTCTAGGCCCTGGAGTTCTAGGAGTGTTGGTCCTGGAATGATCGTGGGGAGTGGAGGAAAGAGGAGGAGTGGGGAGAGGGGCGCGGGAGTTTTCCCACCCCCAAGGGTCGTCTTCAGGGCAGACCCGAACAGGTGTCTTCAGAAGGCCCCAGTTCTCATGACTGGTCCCTGCCGCCCTGGTAGCTGGAGTTTGCGGTGCAGATGACCTGTCAGAGCTGTGTGGACTCCGTGGGCAAGTCCCTGCAAGGGGTGGCAGGTAAGAGCCAGTAAAACGTTAATGCAACAGCCCAAGGCTTCTGGGAGGTTCAGGCAGCTCCGACTGAACCTGCAATCCAAGTCAGAGAGGGAGAGGGAGAGAGAGGCGGGCATGTGCCCAGAGAGCCAGGGTTCAAGCCAGAGTCCAGATTCCTGGCCTGGCCTGTCCTTGGTCAGGGCGGGGCCTTCACCCCCCACAGAGGCTGGAGTAGCCCCACCTCTGGAGGGAGTTCCCTGGACGACTGTCAGCCCTGGGCTTGGGAAACCGCCTGATCTTCACAAAGCAAACAGCCTCGGTCCTGTTCCTGCTTTTGGCAAGCCTGCCCGCTGCCCTGGAGGTGACCCTGCTCAGAGGCCAGGGTGGGGCTCAGGTGGTGAGGAGTGGGGGTGCGGCTGACCCCTGCAGCATGGTGAACTAGTGGTCAGTGGATGTGCCTGACCGCGGGACTTCGCTCCTCCATCCTGGCCCCACCGCTCCTCTCGCGTGGAACTTTCTGTGCTTGTTTCTTGGACGTTATGGAAACTGCTCTGGGGGCCGTTGTGAAGAGCCACCCACCGATGTCCGTCAGGCACTTTGGAAGGGTCTTTGCCCTGGAGCGAGACCCCACTAAGCTGCAGGAGGAACAGGGAGGGTCACAGGTGGAGGTATTAGAAGACAGATTTCTTTATTTTGGGAGGGGGTGACTCATTGGCGGGGCTCAGTCACCTGGGGGCCTCTGATGGTTTTGGGGCTTAGGCCTGGTCACGCTATGCTGTGCAGGCGGTGCTGAGGCCACCAGGGCCACACCTGGTTGTACTCAGGGAGACCCCAAAGCTGGGCCTTGGGACCTTGTTCCTGTAAAGCATGTGCCCTCTGCTCCAGTTCCCTAGCCCCAAGGGGACACCCTGGGGCTGGGTTTGCTTGAACTGTGTTTAAAGGGGGTTGTGTGAGGACCTTAAGGAACCTGCTGCCAGAGTAGGGGGCGCAGCTGGGGAGACAGTGAGGTTTTACCCCAGTGCTAGGACCCCCGCGCCCGCTGAGGACTTCTGGGAACCACTCTCCGGTCTGGGGGACGGGGCCCGTGTGTCTTTCTCAGAGAGTGAGCCATTTCGCCGAGAGCAGGAGGTTCTGAGAGAAGCTTTCTGAGGATGTTGGGCTTGCCACCTCCTGTAAAATGATGTTTCTTGGGCCGGAGCCATAGTAGAGCGGGAAGGGCGTTTGCCTTGCACGCCACCAACCTGGGTTCAATCCCCGGCATCCCACATGGTCCCCCAAACACCGCCAGGAGTAACTCCTGAGTGTAGAGCCAGGAGTAACCCCTGAGCATTGCTGGGTGTGACCCAAAAAAAGGAAAAAAAAACATTTCTTAGTCCAGGGAGATGGTACAGAGGGTGGACACTTGCCTTGCACATGGCCAACTGGTTTCATCTCTGACACTTTACATGGTCCCCCAAATTCCCCCTGAGCCCAGACCTAGGAGTGAACCCTGAGCACTGCCAGCTGTGGTTCCAAAACCCCACCCCCCCCTTTTTTTTTGCTTTTTGGGTCACACCTGGCAATGCACAGGGGTCACTCCTGGCTCATGCACTCAGGAATTACTCCTTACCATATGGGATGCTGGGAATCGAATCCAGGTCGGTGGCGTGCAAGGCAAATGCCCTACCCGCTGTGCTATCACTCCAGCCCTCCCCTCCCCCTTTCTTTTGCTTTGGTTTTTGGGCCACCCGCTGGCTGTGCTCAGAACTTATTCCTGGCTCTGCGCTCAGGGCTCCCTCCTGGTGTTGCTTGAGAAGCCGTGTGTGGTGCCAGGGATGGAACCCGGGTCGCTAGCATGCAAGCATGTGCCCTGCCCGCTGCTCCATCTCTCCCTGGGTCTCATCTGCAAGGCCTGTGCTCCACCGCGTGAGATGCATCCGGCCTGTGCAATACTCCTGCTGCCAGAGCTGGGGGCGCAGCTGGGGAGACAGTGAAGGTTTATCCCAGTGCTGGGACCCCCGCGCCCACTGAGGACTTCTGGGAACCACTTTCTGGTCCTGGGGGCGGGGCCCCTGTGGCTTTCTCAGGGAATGAGGAGAAACGCTTGTAGTTAAGAGAGCAGTAGTGAAGAAGGAGGATTGAGGTGCCCTAACTCTGGGGAACAGGGCTTAGGTCTCCAATGCGGAGCATGGAGCAATACTCCCAGCCCAAGCCTCAGTTCCCTGCCCTGAAGCCGCCCTGTGGCCTCAGCGTTTCTCCCTCGCTGGGCGCTGTGCTGAACAAAGGCTGAGCCCGCTGTGCACCCCTGAACGGAGATAGAGGGGGACCTGCTTCTCAGGGCGGACAGACACACACCCAGACAGCAGGGAGGACCTGGTTCCGACACAGGGATCCTGCCGCAAGAGCCTAGAATCAGCCCTTCTCGGGGACCCCATTAGGAAGTTGTGCGGCGCCAGCCCCTCGCTGTCTCTGGAACGCCGGGAACTGCCTTTTCCCACCGGGCCTGACTCCCTGCTTGCCTGCAGAACTTCTCTTGGCATCTTTGAGCTCCCTGTTGCCCCAGGTGCCCCTGCTCTGCGGCCACCACAGAAACCCAGAGGGACTCTCCCAGCCAAACACCAGAGGATGTTGTCCCGCTGATGACCCCTGACCCCTGCAAAGGCTCTGGAGCAATTAACTGTGTGCGCGCGTGCGCGTGAGTGCATGTGTGTGTATGTGTGTCTGTTGTGTGTGTGTGTGTCCCTGGCCTCGTCCCAGGCTCTGCATGGGCCCCCTGAGCACTGTTCGGTGGGCTGTACAGTAGCCCTCTGAAGTAGGTAGAACCATTTCCATTTGCAGATGAAGCCGCCGAATAGAAAACTCAGCTGGAACATGGGGCCTCAGGATTTAACTCCAGAGCCACCCCTGGGGCCACCGTGCCCTATGGCCTCCCCCACTCCCCGTCAGAATTAAAGCCCAGATTCTTCTTTGGTGGCGGGTGTGCTGGCTGTGCCCCGTCCCCCCGCCCCTGCCCTGTCGTGTCTTGCTGTAAACCAATGGCCAATCAATAAAATGTGTTTTCAACGAGTCCAGCTCTTTCCTGTCGCCTGCTGCGCCTCACCTGCTCTTGTCCACTCTCTGCCCTCTGGCTCAGCCCACACTGGCCTTTGTTCTCGCGGGGCAGATGCTTGGCCACTGCTGTTCCCTCTGCTCACATGCCCTTCCCCTCACTCCTGGGCTCAGCGCCTTCCCCGCACTGCCTGTCCTGCATAAGTAATGCCGGATCACACCTTTTGCTTCAAAAAGTCTCAGGATGGAGTTGGAGAGATAGCTCAGTGGGTTTGTACACTTGCCTGGCATGCGGCCAACCTGGGTTTGATCCCCAACACCCCATATGGTCCCCTGAGCATTGGCAGGAGTGACCCGTGAGCACAGAGCCGGACTAAGCCCCGAGCACCTCTGGGTGTGGTCCCCAAATAGCAACAAAACGAAAACTCTGTTGTGAATCCCTACACCCAAACACGCACTGCTCCTGGGCCAGGGATGTCATCTCCCTTGTCCCCTGCTCTGTCCCCACTGCCTGGAGCATGTGTGAGTGAGAGGCAGGTGCACGAGGAATCCTGGTGGGAAGCCTTGAACGTTGCCTGCTTATCTGAGCCCCGGGAGTGTCAGGCTTATCTTGGCCCTTTGGGGCCCCGGCCTGTTCCCAGGGAGGGTGGGGGTGCCGTGGCTTGTGCAGGCTGCCCTCCCAGCTCTATCCTCTGGCCACATGTGGCATTGGGTCACTCTCTGGCCTGGTGGGTGTAAGAGCACTCGGCAAGGGCCCAAGGAAGCTCAGCCCAGTTCCAGTCATTTGCTGTCCCTGTCCCCCCAGTGGCCTGCGGCAGCTGAGGGGTCCTCTGGGTGGGGGCGCACAGGCAACTGTTCCATGGGGGAGGAGCAGCTTGGCTCCATGGGGTCTCCCTGCACTTGAGGGGCCATGAATATCTGCTGGCTTCCCAGGCCCACTGCCCCACCCCCCAGGAACCCCCAGAGAACACAAGCCTCATAAGCCCTCATAAGCTTCCTCATTCTACTATTGTTGCCTGTGAGGGCTCACAAGGAAGCCAGGGCCTTCCGGAACTTTCTCTGGTATTTAATCCAGGTGCAGTCTGGCTGCTCTTGCAACCTGGCAGTCCCCGGGGACAAGGACTGTTGCTTCCCCAGACTGTCGTGACTTCCTCCTACCAGAGCACTTTGCAGAGAGAACTGAAGGAAGGAAAGGAAGAACGCATGAGGGGTGCCTGGCGTGGCCATGCATGGCCTTCCCTTCTTGGAACTGGCAGCAACGAAAGGAAAGACCTTCTTTACCCAGTGTCCACCACACTGCTCCCCGGGCTGCACCCCTCTTCTCCCTGCACCCCCAGACAGGGAGGCATGAGGATTCCAGTGTTCCCTCAGGGGCCCCGGAGCCCATGTGTGGCTGCATGAAACCGAAGCTCCTTCTCTTGCTGTTTGGGGTCACCTGGGGGCTGTGTACCTCAGGAGCCCTGCAGATGCAGGGTGACCCCAGGGTTCCCGGCAGAAGTCCCAGAAGACTGGGTGACACAGTCGCCTGAGCCTGTCTGAGGCCCACGCTGCACTCTTGCCCCTAGACTAGCCAGTGTGGTCATTCTCAGGAGCTCCTGCAGGAGGGCGGGAAAGGGACCCCGACCCTGCTTCTCAGGGGAAGGTGTGTTGTGGAGAAGAGCTTGACCACCCCAGGTGAATGCCAGGTTCACAGTGTGGCATGGAGCAAGTTGCTTTCTACAAAAAAAAAAAAAAAAAGAGGGGCTGGAGCAATAGCACAGCGGGTAGGGCATTTTGCCTTGCACGCGACCGACCTGGGTTCGATCCCAGCATCCCATATGGTCCCCCAAGCACCGCCAAGAGTAATTCCTGAGTGCAGAGCCAGGAGTAACCCCTGTGCATCGCCAGGTGTGACCCAAAAAGAAAAAACAACAACAAAAAAAACTTTTCCTTGTTCTCTACTGGTTGTCATTGTCATGGAGTCTGGGACCCTTGATGTGTGTCCAGGGTCTCATGTATGCTGCTGTGCACGAGGACTCACAGTCATTTGGGTGTGTCACACCCACAGTGTCAGGGGCTGCTGGCTCTGTGCCTTGGGGGCGGGGAGTCACCGCTTCTCCATCTTGCTTCTGCGCATGCTCCCCAGGACTAGGTTGTGGGGCTCACCTTGGCCTTTTCGTGCAGTGATGGCTGGGGGTCACTCACCAGACTGGTAGGGCTCGCACCTGCCTGGCTGTGCCTCGCGTGCAAGGCACCATGCGGTGGTGGTGGGGGAGCAGGGTCTGTGCTGGGGCACGCAGGCAGCACCAGGGATCGACCTTCCAAGGTGGGCACTTTGCCTCTGAGCCCTCCCCAGCCCCACAATATTGTGACTAATTTGACTTAATGCATTCTTTTTTGTTGTTTTCTGGGGTGTGTGTGTGTGTGTGTGTGTGTGTGTGTGTGTGTGTGTATGGGGCATGGGGTGCTCCACGCTCGGCTGTGTTCAGGAATCACTCCTAGTGGGGTTCAGGAGATCATATGCAGTGTTGGGGATCAAACTATGCAAGGTTGTATAATCTCTCTGAAACCCTTAGTACTTTCTTTTTTTGTTTTGTTTTGTTTTGTTTTTTGCTTTTGGGGTCACACCCGGCAATGCACAGGGGTTACTCTTGGCTCTTCACTCAGGAATTACTCCTGGCGGTGCTCAAGGGACCATATGGGATGCTGGGAATCGAAATCCGGGTTGGCCGCATGCTAGGCAAACGCCCTACCTGCTGTGCTATTGCTCCAGCCCCAACCCTTAAGGTTTTTAAGGTTCATTTGTGTCTAGTTATATCAGAATTATGTCATTATTATTATTATTATGCTTCTTTTTTGGGGGGGTCACACCCAGCGATGCTCAGGGGTTACTCCTGGCTCTGCACTCAGGAATCACTCCTGGCGGTGCTCAGGGTACCAGATGGGATGCTGGTAATCGAACCCAGGTCGGCCGAGTGAAAGGCAAATGCCCGACCTGCTGTGCTAATGCTCCAAGCCCCTTATTCTGCTATTTTTTCAGAGCCTCCAACAGTGGCAGTAGGAGCCACAAGGGCCACTGCTGCCAGGACTGGGGAGGCCACATAATGCCAGGGATCAAGCCCAGGGCCTCGTGCATGCCAGGCCCGTGTTCCTGCCCTTTGAACCATCTCCCTGACCCTGCTTCATACTTTGCAGCTGAGGATAAATCCAACATGCCAAACACATTTTTTTTTTTTTTTGCTTTTTGGGTCACATCCGGCGATGCTCAGGGGTTACTCCTGGCTCTGCACTCAGGAATTACTCCTGGGGGTGATCGGAGGACCATATGGGATGCTGGGAATTGGACCCAGGTCGACCGTGTGCAAGGCAAACGCCCTACCCGCTGTACTATCACTCCAGGCCCACCAAACACATATTTTGGTCTGCCTTTTGGCTGTTGTGAATGACAAGATTCTTTATCATCCCTGTTCATAAAAGTAGCTTAAGGGGCTCTTCTATTATTTCAAAAATTATGCATAATACCTGGCACGTGACTAGAGCTCAGGAAGGTCCTGGTGGCCAAGTGGCACGTGCTCCCCTATCTGTAGAGAGAAGCCGACTCAGGCTGGAGCGATAGTACAGTGGGTAGGTGCTTGTCTTGTGAGCTTGCGGCTGATGTGAGTTCAATCCCGGGCACTCCGTATGATCTCCCCAACCCTGCTGGAGTGGGCTCAGGACTGTGGCACATATACTGGGCAGAGGCCCTGGGTTCAATCGCTGGTACCCAAGTACTGCCTGATTAAGTCCTGGACGCCCCAGACTGGGGTGACCGTGGTGTCCTATAGCACCACAGTGCCAGGTCCAAGCCTCCAAACCATGGGCCCCCATAGCTTGGCCTAATGCTGCTGGTCATGCACCCCTGGCTTGGGCCCCCCCCCAAACAGAAGAGCCTTATATTGCCCGAAGGTGGCTTCAGAGCTGGCCTCGGCCACGGGCCGGGGCTGAAGCCGGGATGGCAGACTGCCATCTGGTCATTCCCACCCCAGCTCGGGCGTGCCAGCCCTCTGCTACCCTCTGCCCTTCCATGCCAGGCATCCAGAGTGTGGAGGTGCAGCTGGAGAACCAGATGGTCCTGGTGCAGACCACTCTGCCCAGCCAGGAGGTGCAGGCCCTCCTCGAGAGCACCGGGCGGCAGGCGGTCCTCAAGGGCATGGGCAGCAGCCTACTGAGTGAGTAGCCCCTCCCACGCGACCTTGGCCAAAGGCTCTAGGGCAATGCATATAAAACCACTTCCGGTTTTATTTCAGGGTGTTGGGGTTTGGAATGGCTTCAGAGAAGGCAGCTGGGTGGGCTCTCGGGCTAGGTGAGGGGGTGAGTCCACCGAGCATCCAATACCTTGCAGAGAATCTGGGGGCGGCAGTGGCCATGCTGGGGCGTCCTGGCTCCGTGCAGGGCGTGGTGCGCTTCCTACAGCTCAGTCCCGAGCGCTGCCTCATCGAGGGGACCATTGACGGCCTAGAGCCGGGGCTGCACGGGCTCCACGTCCATCAGTTCGGGGACCTCACCAATGACTGCAGCAGGTAAGGGAGACTTGTCACTGTCTCCAGCCCTTCCCACACACACCTACTCCCAGACCCACTCTACAGATGTAGAGACTGAGGCTCCGCGGGCGAAACGAGCCGTTAGTGCTGCTAGCACAAGGAAGGGCGTTAAACCCCCAATCCTTTCCGAAGATCCTGCCGCACTGCTTCCTGCCCCAGGAGGGAAGAGGGTCCTCGGGCGGGAAGGGTGGGCCTGTGTGGGGAGGTTGGTCCCGGGCAGACCCCATGAGGAGGCTCAACACCGTGGGCGGCCCCAACATTCTGGGAAAGCAGGGCCCACGTCTGGATTCTCTCAGTGCCCTCAACCGAGACTCTGGCACAGGCCAGGCTGCTGTTCAGTGCCAAGTGTTGGGGACAGAGAAAACACAGATGCCATTAAAATGGTCCCCACTAGTCACCCTTTTTTTCTCAGCTGTGGGGAGCACTTCAACCCGGATGGAGCCTCTCATGGGGGGCCCCAGGATGCTGAGCGGGTAAGTGCTGGCAGGGTCAGCCTCGAACTGAGGGACCCGGCTGCTCCAGGGACCCTGCCCCGATTCCCTGTTGAGGGCCTCCCCCTCATTTTGGTTCTTTTCGATCCCCTGCTGCGATCTGGGCCTGCCCCCAGGGAACAACGAGATCACCTACAGGAGACCCCATTGACACCCCAGACCTGTTATGGAGCCCCAGGAATAGGTGACGCAGACCATGCTTCACTGGTCACCAGAGAATTGTCCCCCAGCTCAGAGTGTCACCCATGGCACTAATAATTAATGATGATTTGACCCTGTGCAAATATTGTCTTCAACCTCTTTTTCTGTTTTTTTTTCCTTTGGATGTTCTTCTTCACCTTGGGTAATTTAGTTCTTTTTTTTTTTTTGGTTGCTTTTTTGGGTCACACCTCGCAATGCACAGGGGTTACTCCTGGCTCATGCACTCAGGAACTACTCCTGGTGGTGCTTGGGGGACCACATGGGATGCTGGGAATCGAACCCGGGTTGGCCGGGTGCAAGGCAAATGCCCTACCCCCTGTGCTATCGCTCCACCCCCTAATTCTTTTTCTTTTTAAAGATTTTTATGGTGTCAAGGATCAATTCCACACACAGGGACAAGAGCCATGATACGGCGGGTAGGGCACTTGCCTTGCACGTGGCCGACCCAGGTTTCAGGAGTGACCCCTGAGTGCAGTGCCAAGAGTGACCCCTGAGCACCACCGGATGTGGCCCCCAAACCAAAGCAAAACCCAAACAAAAAACACTCACAAATGCAAGGCACATCCTTAGCCCTAAGTTTATATTTTTTGGGGAACAAGGTCTCCCTAGCAGTGCTCAGGAGGCCCAGGTACCCCTCCTAGTGATTCTTATCCAGGAAACTGGCTGGCAGGTCAATGCAAGGGTCCAAGGATGCAGGGTTTGCCTCAGTGGTGGGGGTCACTGGAGCCACCCCAGCGGGGCCCAGGGCTTCCAGAGCTGTACCATGATGCTCAGGGGATTGTGCAGTCACATGTCTTAATCCCTGCCCTCGCTCTGCAGCCCCCAGTCCTAAATTTCATTCACTTCCATGTTTTAGTCTCATGGAACCTTTATGTATACTCAAAAGCAGGGCAGGTCTCATTCTGGGCTCCTGGGTCCCTCTCCCTCATCCCTGCAGCTACCGGCTCATGTCCATCCTGCTGCTGCTCCCTCCTCTGCTCCCCTTCACCCTGATTTTGCAGCAAATTGAGATATGTTGGAACCGAAATGATAGTACATCGAGGACGGTGTTTGCCCAGCACACGGCTGACTGGGTTCTCCGAGCACCGCCAGGAGTGATTTTTTGAGTACAGAGCCCAGCGTAACCCCTGAACATTGCTGGGTGTGACCCAAAAAGCCAAAAAAAAAATTGAGATATGTTTCATACAACGAGGTAGATTCTTTTTAACAGAACCTGATATTGCCACCAAGAGGAAAAACCGGTACTGCTAGCGAACAAGATGAAGAGGGGCATTAAAAAAAAAAAAAACAACCTAAATCAGTGAAGGCCAAAAGTGTTTTTAGGGGGCTGGGCAGAACTCAGCAAGGTGGAACGCCTGCATGGATGCAAAAGTCCCCAAGTTCAAACCTCCCTGACCCCCACTGGTACACACACACACAGACTCTCTCTCTCTCTCTCTCTCACACACACACACACACACACACTCATGCACACTCACACACACGTACACACATACTCTCATACACACACACACACACACACACGCACACTCACACTCACACTGTTGGGCCCAAGCATTGCATTGCAGGGCTGGACAGTGGCCTCTGATCCCAGCCTGGCACCTGTGTGGAGGACACAGGCTATTCCAGGCCCAGGAAGCGTCCATGGCCTGGCCAGTACCCTGGGCCCGCCCTGTCATTCCACCAAGGAAAGAGACATGGTTGGGGAGCCGGGGATCAGGTTGGGGACCAACATCAGCCTCGTGCCTGCCTCACCGTAGCACCGAGGAGACCTGGGGAACGTCTGCGCCAACGCCGACGGCCGCGCCACCTTCAGGATGGAGGATGAGCGGCTGAAGGTAAGGCGGGAAAAATGGGGGGAATCTTCTCTCCCGTCCCTGGTCTGAGCCCGGTCCCCCTCTCAGGTGTGGGACGTGATCGGCCGGAGCCTGGTCATCGATGAGGGGGAAGATGACCTGGGCCAAGGCAGCCACCCCTTGTCCAAGATCACAGGGAACTCTGGGAAGAGGTGAGCCCGGCACCCTCTGGGCCTAGGCGGAGGTGAGGCAGAGCCCGCGTGACCCTGACCTTGCCCGTGTGGCCCTGACCTTGCCCGTGTCCCCTTGCAGGCTGGCCTGTGGCATCATTGCGCGCTCCGCCGGCCTGTTCCAGAACCCCAAGCAGATCTGCTCGTGCGACGGCCTGACCATCTGGGAGGAGCGCGGCCGGCCCATCGCGGGGGAGGGCCGCAAGGAGCCTGTGCAGACCCCAGCTCACCTCTGAGTAGGGTCGCAGCCTCAGGGCCAGAGGGGGTCCTGGTGCCCACCTATGAGCCAGCCTCAGGTCGGGTGGGTGCCCCTGCCTGAATCTGGGGCCAATTAAAGCTGCTTTTTCCTGTGGAGTTCTGTGTTTGCTTGGGGCCCCCTGTGCTTCCGTAGGCTCTGGGAACATAGCTGCTTGGCTGGGCCTCCCTGCTTCAAGGACCACCTCTGAAGTCAAACCAAACTGAATTCGGGGCTGGAGCGATAGTACAGCAGGGAGGGCGTTTGTCTTGCACGCGGCCGACCCAGGTTTGATTCCCAGCATCCCATATGGTTCCCTGGGCACTGCCAGGAGTAATTCTGAGTGCAGAGCCAGGAGGAATCCCTGAGCATTGCCGGATGTCACCCAAAAAGAAAAAAACAAAACAATTCACCGCCTCTCAAATCTGCCGGTGGCCTGTCCCTTCCCTTTGCTGTGGCTGACCGGAACCACAGAGGTCGTCTGGCCCCAGGCAGGGCCCTTTTCTCCCGGCAATCTTCGTCTGTGGCTGGATCTGGGGCCTCATACAAAGCCAGTGTCGGGGAGGATGACAGTGGTACAGGAGAGCACTGGAAGATGCGGGACATTCTGAGTCACTGCTGGGCCCCCACCTGGGGGCCAAGAGTCACTCCTCTTTCCTCACTGTGTTCTTGTACTCGTGTCCTAAAGAATGAATCTGCGGGCTGGAGAGATAGCACAGTTGGTAGGGCGTTTGTCTTGCGTGAGGCGGACTCGGGTTTGATTCCCAGCATCCCATATGGTTTCCTGAGCACCGCCAGGAGTGACTCCTGAGTGCAGAGCCAGGAATAACCCCGTGCATCGCCAGATGTGACCCAAAAAGCAACAACAACAACAAAAAGACGCTAGGAGATGGTACAGTAGGCAGTAGGCAGGCCGCTCGCTTACCTTGCATATAACTTACCCAATTCTATCCCTGGCACTGGATATGGTCTGCTGGGCACAGCCAGGAGTGATCCCTGGGCACAGTTGGGTGTAGCCCAGAAAACAAGAAAGGGGAGGGGGAGAGAGAGAGAGAGAGAGAGAGAGAAGAAAAGTGCCAAAGTGGGAACGGTGGGAGAAAAACTGGGGACACTAGTGCTGGGAAACATACACTGGTAGAGGGATGGGTGTTGGGACCCTGTATGACTGAAACCTAATCATGAATAGCTTTATAAGGGTTCTTCTATTTTTTCTGCTTAATAATAAAAACTTGGCCGCTGATGGGATTACATGGCGCCAGGGGGCCAGGTGGTGGGTGTGACCCCCGCCTACTGGAAATTGGAGGATCTGGGTGGAAGATGCTCGACTCCAATTCGAGTAGGCTTGGAGGTCTTGGCCCCGGAACCCGCGTGGCTTTGTCCCTCTGCCAGTACCTTCATGTGTGCGGAGAGTGGTCTCAGCATGGTGGTGGCTGGTCCTGGAGGTCTTCGGCTGCCGGAGCCCCAGTCGGGGCGGGGAGGAAAGCTCGACCCGCTCCCCTCCAAGGGGTCCCGGCGAGGGACACCCAGGCGCGGGGGCAAAAGACTGCACTGTTCTCGTCCGGGATCTGGATTTTATAGTCTCTGAATCTTGGCCGCTGATGGGATTACACGCGGGTTCCGGGGCCAAGACCTCCAAGCCTACTCGAATTGGAGTCGAGCATCTTCCACCCAGATCCTCCAATTTCCAGTAGGCGGGGGTCACACCCACCACCTGGCCCCCTGGCGCCGTGTAATCCCATCAGCGGCCAAGACTCAGAGACTATAAAATCCAGGTCCTGGAACCGCGCGGCCGCATTTGCGGCCGCGCAACATCTTATTATCTCATTCTTACTTTGGACACACTTGCAGGCTATCGAATGTAGCCTGCCCACACGGCAGAGTCTGGCAAACTCCCCGTGGCCTACCAAATATGCCAAATACCAGTAACAATGATGGGTCTCATTCTCCTAAAGAGCCTTGAATATAATCTCAGGGCTAGGATGAAAGAGACGTTACTGGGGCCTGCTCGAGGCAATCGACGATTAACAGGATGATGAAATGAAATGAAATGAAATGAAATGAAAATAATAAAAACTTAAAAAAAAAAACAACAGGGCTGAAGCAATAGCACAGTGGGTAGGGCGTTTGCCTTGCACGCGGCCGACCCGGGTTCAATTCCTAGCATCCCATATGGTCCCCCGAGCACTGCCAAGAGTGATTCCTGAGTGAAAAGCCAGGAGTAACCCCTGAGCATCGCGGGGTGTGACCCAAAAAGCAAAAAAAAAAAAACCCCAACAACAAAATACAACTCGAATGGCCCTAATATAATCTTTGGTTTCAGGAGGAATCACTTCCAATTGTTTTGGGTGAGGCACCCTCCTCAGTGCTCAGGAACCACCGCGGGGGGGGGGGGGGGTCTGTGAGCACATGGTTCTGGGGATCAAACTCAGAGCCTCACACATGCTCTGCCACTGAGCTGGATCCTGGCCTATGTGATGTGCCTATGTGGGGAGCCTGCCACCTGCCATAAGTCAAATTACCACATGCTTGCATGTAAAACACGCATTTTACCACTGAACTTTTTTGACCCTTTCTTTTTTTTTTTTTGCTTGGGAAGACACACCTCACAGTGCTCAGGGCTTACTCCTGGCTCTGCACTCAGGAATCACTCTTGGCGGGGACTCGGGGGGCCCTATGGGGTTGGTCGTGTGTGAGGCAAATGCCCCACCTACATCCTCAGCTCCAGACCTATTGACTCCTGAGCTATGCACAGCCCTAAGACAGCACCTCTGTGTAAATATTCTTTTGATAGCTCATGTAAACATTTTTATATGCTGTGGGAAACCAAAATATTCATGTGGCTTGCTTTATTGTGCTGTAGTGCTAGTCTGGAAGGGAACCGTGAGGCACTGGAGGATGCCTGGAGAGTGATTGTTTACACCCTGTTCTGCCCTAAACGCTGCGCAGGCAGGTGTCAGTCCTCATGGCAAGGATTAACTGCAAAGTTGGCGAGATTATGATCCCATTTTACAGATGAGGAAACTGAAGCCCAGATGGTTATGTAACTTGCCCAATAAGATAGTCTCTATTCAGATGGTTCTACTACTCCATCATTATCACTATCATCCCATTGTTCATTGATTTGCTCAAGTGGGAGCCAGTAATGTCTCCATTCGTCCCTGTCATGTGCTAGTGTAGCCCAATGGCATATTTGGGGCTCTTTCAGGGTCAGGGGAATGAGGACCACATTGTTACTATTTTTGGCATATCAAGTAGGCCATGGGTAGCTTGGCAGGCTCTGCTGTGCGGGCGGAATACCCTTGGTAGCTTGCCGGGCTCTCCAAGAGGGATTGAGGCTTTTGAGGCAGCCTCTTATCACCTTTACAGATATCCCCAGTCAGGCATATATGCGGGCAGGATGCTCTCGGTAGCCTGCCGGGTTCTCTGAGAGCGAGAATTAGGCAATAAGAGGTCGCGGCCGGGAGCTTGGTTTTATACTCTCTGGAGCTTGGCTGTTGATGGGGTTACATGGCAGTTGGTGGGTGTAACTGTCTGGTTACTGGAAGATGGAGGATCTAGGTGGAGGAGGCTCAGTCCCTCACCGAGCAGGCCTGGAGATCTCAGCCCCGGGTTCCTCACACCTGGGTTCCTCTGCCAGTTCCTTCATGTGTGAGGCTCATCTGAGAGTGTGGAAAGTGGTCTTAGCATGGCTGTGAATGGGTCCTGGAGGTCTTCAGCTGCCAGGGCTCTGCTCGGCATATATAATACTCCATATGAACCACAATATTGATTTTAATTTTAACAGCTGAAAAGTGAGACTCATGTATCGTGAATAAAATTTTTCTAGAAAAATAAAACATCTCGCTATCATATAAAAAATTGGGGCCTGGGGGCTGGAGAGATAGCACAGCGGGGAGGGCGTTTGCCTTGCACACGGCCAACCGGGGTTCGATTCCCAGCATCCCATATGGTCCCCTGAGCACCGCCGGGAGTGATTCCTGAGTGCAGAGCCAGGAGTAGCGCCTGTGCATCACCAGGTGTGACCCAAAAAGAAAAAAAAAATTGGAGGCTGTAGTACAGTGAGTAGCGTGCTTGCCTTGCAAGTAGCTGACCCACATTTAATCTCCTGCACCCCATAGGTTTCCTTGAGCCCAGCCAGGAATGATTTCTGAGCACAGAGGCAGGAGCAAGCCCTGAGCATCCCCAGGTGGGGCCCCCGAAAAAAAATACCAAAGAAAAATTGGGGCCCAAGCAATAGTAGAGCAGGGAGGGCGCTTGCCTTGCAGGGAGGGTGCTGACCCAGATTAGACTCCAGGTATCCCATATGGTCCACTGGGCGTCAGGAGTGAGCCCTGAGCACAGAGACAGGAATAAATCCTGAGCACCGCTGGGTGGGGCCCCAAAACCAAACAAAAACAAACTCCAGCACCAGTGGTGCCCTGAGCACCCAGCAGGGTGTGATTCAATCCCACCAAATGATTTAGCCAGAAGTGTGACCCACCCTGAGGTCTTTTGTTTGTTTAGTTTTTGTTTTATTTGGCCACACCCAGCAATGCTCAAGGATAAGCATTTGGAGTAAGCCTCACTTACTCCTGGCTCTGTGCTCAGGGGTCACTCCTGGTGGGACTCAGGGAACCATATATTATGCCCGGAGTTGAACCCGGGTCTGACACACACAAGACAAACACCCCACTGGCTGTACTGTCTCTTGGCCCATATTTTCTTTTTCAGGGGACGGGGCACACCTGGCCGTGCTCAGGGGACCATATGGGGTGGTAGGGATTGAACCCAAGTTGGCCATATGCCAGGCAAGCACCCAACCTACTGTACTATCCCCTGGCCCATAGGTGGTTTTTTTTTTCACTTATTTATATTTTTCTTTTGTTTTTATTACTTCAAGAATTTTTTAAAAACGACTTATCTGAAGGTAATTGATAGCATTGGCTAAGTAGATTGTGCTGCTAATTTACCTCCAAAAGTTTAGCACATCAAAAATATCTTTCCATTGGCATTTTTATTGCTTTAGAATGTCATTGTAGGGGGCTGGAGCAATAGCACAGCGGGTAGGGTGTTTGCCTTGCACGTGGCCAACCCGGGTTCGATTCCCA